ACAATCATGCTGCGGTCAAAATCACCGTTGATTTTGACCCTATTCTGATGGTTGGTGTAAACATTACCTTGAGCTGCTGGCCCGTATCAACATGATTTTATGCACTGCACTGCTGCCACGATTGGCTGATTAGATAATTGGATGAATGAGTAGGTAAACAGGTGTTCCTAGTAAAGAGCTTGCTGAGTATATACATAGTTGTCCGATTATAGCATTTGTGTTTGTGATTTTTAAAAAAAAACACAATTTTTCACTCAGAGCGAAGCTAGAAACTGCATCTGATCAGTCAGTGGACCAACCCAGGTACCAGCTTGACATTTGTCTTTGTGTATGTTGCATAGGCGTAACGTTTTATCTTTTTAATTTGTTTTATATGATGGTTGTATTTTGATTTTTCACACAGAAACCGAAGCTAAGAATAGCATCTCTAGCTCCAACATGTGCATTATTCAACTCTGACAAGTCAATGGACTGACCAGCAATGTTCGAACAAGGGTATGTTTTCATCTGTCCGTGGTCAAGCTATTTTTTTAATATGGATATATTTCCAAGTAAAAAAAACGTCAGATCCATTTTATCCACAATAAATTTATCAAGTTTATAAGTACTTTAGCACTCAGGGCTCCTGTTGTATGAGCTTGTGTGATTTATCAGTTCATGGCTGAGCTGCTCCTAGATGTTTCCGCTTCAGAATCACAGCACTTACTGTGGACCGGGTAGCTCTAGCAGGGCACAAATTTGATGAACTGACTTGTTGGAAATATGCAGGTGGCATACTATGACAGCATGCTGTACAAGTCACCAAGGTTTTCTGTACAACACATTACTACCAGTTTGACAAAGGAGATTGCATGACTGTGCATGCTTGAATTAATACAGCTGTTAGCAGGGTCAATGACGAATAAGGGTTTCAATGACAATTTTAAAAATCTTATTAAAAAGGAGATGCTGTGAATTTTTATATCTGCATGTGTATTTGCGTTTATGTCTATGTGCATTTAACATCTTAAATGTAGTAAGTGTTACCAAAGCTTTTAATCGCCTATTTCAGTTATTGAAGCTGTACTAGTCTGGTTGCTCCATTTGACTTACTGGTTGTACCACTTGACTTTACAGACAAATTTCAGATTAAACAGACATTTACTTAAACACCAGTAGAAACGTTTGTCCTTGAACCTGAGTTTATGCTTAGATTTTTTTCAAATAAAAAAACGTCATTTTAATATTTGCACATTTTCGTGGATTTTCCAGAGGTCAGACCACCTGACATGGTAAACTGAACAATTCTAACCATGACCAAAATTTGTGAAAGGCGAACTGACCTTGGCATTCCACCCTGAAGGTCACTTGGGGTCTTCTTTATGACACAATACCCTAGCCCCTCGTTCATAAAAGCATAAAATCGTTAAAATAAAAGTCCTCTTTTGGTTGTGCCGCCTGACATTTGAGGAAGTAAAAACTTGTGGAAAGACAGAGTTGAGTACTTCTGAAGTTGTCTTATTTTGCAATATGTTTTTTTTATTTTAAAGTTTTCAAACATAAAATCATGCCAAACTATTTTATTTAGAATTTTATAAATACAATTAAAAAAATTAAACAAAAATTACGTTTTTAGATCTTAGATCTAGAACTGAGTCAACAGATATGGTTGGATGGTTGCACCACCTGACATTTTTAGAGTAAAATGAATTTTAATGGATGCAATGAAAATTGTTTCACATGAAAGAGTTATTGTTAAATAATGTGATATGTGTCCTGTATTCATTAATTTTTGGGAGGGAAAATAATGGAAAAAATGCACAACATGTCAATGACCCAGCAACGGGTGTGGCTGAAATAGCCAAACCCACTAATTAGAAATTGTTTTTGCATATATTTGCCCTGTAGTGTAGGTCTGTTTGATATGAGCTTGTATTTTGTAATTGTTCTAAAATTTAGATGACTGATAATTATTGTTATTATCATTATATAAAGTGATACCACCTGTTTTGCTAAATCATATATTGTATGTATTATATCTGTTTCAGACCAGAGGAGGTCAGGATACTGTCTCCCTTTGTTGTCCTTTAACAGTGATCAATCAAGGGACAAACTTGTCACATTCAGAAATAAAGCTTCTTCTCCAAGTGTAAGGTGAGTGTGTCAGTTCAAGACTTGTTTAAAATAATGATGGGTACAATGAAGCTTCACAAAACACTGTAGCATTCAAAGTAGTTGTAACCAAAATTGGTTTGGCTCTTTTTAACATACCCTTTTTAAATCGTTGGGGTGAAGTGATGAACTGCCCATGTGTCTCTCCCAGGTTGAAGCACCATGTTTTAGTGACATATTGTCACATTATGAAGCCTTGTTTATCTAGGATCACATGATATTTTAACAAAATCTGCACTTGGAAAGCTTAAAACAGTATTAAAACATACTAGTATCAAATATAAAACATATTAGTATCAAATGTCCAATCGCTAAATTAAAGTGTTTTTTGTTCTGTGATTTGATTTAGTTCACATCACTGCCTTGTGTTTGATTTCCCCTCAATCAATCATCATAACACTATAAAGTATACTATCGTAATACTTTATTTTTCAGAAAGTTACATGTTATCGTTGTATATATTTTTTGTGAAAGTTTTTTTTTTTAAATATTTCAATTGAATGAGCTAGAATGAAGCTAGAAGCAGCATCTCCAGCTCCAACATGTGCGTCTTTCAAATCTGACAAGTCAATGGACCGACCGATTATGTTCAGTCAAAGGTTTGTTTACATCTTTCAGTCAACAAAATATTCTTAAATATGTAAAGATTTTTTAAAAAATGTGTAATTTGAGACCCAAACTATGTAGCCTATTAAAGACAAAAATAAGCATAGTTTGTTTACAGGTTATGTTTTGATAAGCATTTACTTCTGATACGCGCTTAATTCTTTAATTGTTTGTACATAATCCATGCTGAATAATTCTTATTATGATTGTATTCTGTCGAAAGGTTGTGGCAGGAGAGTTCATCACCAGCTCCCACCTGCATGTCCATGAACAGTGATAAGTCAATGGACAGACCAACCGTGTTCAGCAGAGAAGAAGAGTTTCTGAGGTAAGCATGCTAACTGGTTCTTGCTGAGAATTCACCAATAGTAGCACTAATATGATTTTTGTTAGAAATGAAATTGAAAACATTAGTCATTTAACAGAATCAATAGTAAATCAGTCAAGACATGTTTAGTGTTTAAAGTTAGCCTCTTTAGTTTTGCAGTAGAACTACAAGACGGGAAAAGGCGACAAAGCGGAAGAGCAATCAGTACTTGTGAAGATGTTAGTTAGCTCCTACACGTAACTAGCAAAGTCTAAGCACATCCGTCTAAGCATTAGCCCATCATCAGGAGATCGTGAGTTTGATCCCTGGTGATGCTACAGGCGTCTGTGACCGGGAGTCCAAGAAAGCACAGTTGGCCTCGCTCTCTCTGGGTGGGTGGGATGGCTCAGCTTGATGCTAGTTAGCACAGGCGGCTGATAGCTGACATAACAAAACTGGCGGTTGGCACTTTCCTCTGAGCGCGTTCAAGCTGTCCAATGACATAGAGTTAGCGGCATTTGGAAAAGATGATTCTCAGGTCTTTGTCTGCGCTAGCTTTTGCCCTCTTGGCGCTGGTGGTATTGTGTGACTGGGGAAGTCTTAACTAGTGGGTGGAAGTGGATATGAGCAAATTGTGGAGAAAATTGAGAAAAAAAACACATTTTGGCAAATAGTTTGTAATATTTAAATCCACATTGTTATTATTGAATCCAAAACAACAATAATTGGAATGGCAGATAATTCCAAAACTTTAAATTGTACATGCATATGTAATCTGGTCACAGCACCTGTTTTGGACAGTTTTATGAAGAGATACACTGACTCATGAGGTGTCAAAATATACATATATATATATATATATATATTGTATATAAATATTATATTGAAAAGGAAATAGGCAACCATAATTATGATAATACTGATGCTTACACTGGCAGGTTGTTCCACAAGGAGTTCTTCACCCTGTAGAAGCACTGGGTTTTGCTTTCACAGAGTTGGTCTCCAGTTACTACTGTGCTTGTTGTGGGATCCTTTGCAAGCTGTTTGACAAAAAGCGGGAAAGGACAATTTAGAATGTGTTATTCATTAACTTTCTTAAGTGACTAACAGATTTACAGTCTAGTAAGGACTACATAATATGTAGGGCAGTGATTTCTAACTAGGGTGTTCCTTGATGATGGGTTAGGTTCCTGGAGTACAGTCCTGCTACATATCGTGTCAGTTGTCTGGATAATTCAGTGACATACAATATAAATAATTTGTTGCTGTCCCTATTTCTAAATTAAATGTATATCAGGTGCCCAGGCTGGTTACCATAGTCAACATGGGTTCAGCACTGGTTACTCTGATGAATCGTCTCATGATTTAATCAGAAACAAGTTACCTCAGTCATATAGCGTCTTCTAGAACAGGGGTTCTCAACCTTTTCCACCCCAAGGCCCACCTGTGTGTAACTACAAAGCATAGCGACCCACGTGAAAACTGAAATGAACTTTTTTAAGTACAGCTTTATTTTTCTTTTCTTAAGTGCTGACACTGAAAACCTGAAAATTAGGTCCTGAAAAAGAGAAACCCTGTTCTAGAATCCTGAGGCTTTCTGCAATAGCCATGGATCCTGTGAATTTCAAGAAATGGTTAGAATAAAGTGCTGTAAAGGGTATAATGTTAAAAGTCAATCTATCTGATGTGAAATATTCAGCCTACCTTTGTGTAACAGCTATTCTTTCTTCCTTTGTCAAGACAAGGAGACGTTCGTTTTCAGTTTTTCTCTTGTCCCTTTTGTTGCTTAGACTTCAATAGAATAGAGTTTGTTAGCGTCATGGTTAATGCACTTCAGTGGTGAATGCTAACAACAAACGAAGGTTAAATAAATATATGCAATTCAGCTTTTTACATCTTTAGTTTATAGTTTTTGCCTTTTTGCAAGTCTCTGAGTTTTTCAGTATAACCCATTACTACCATGTTGCTGATGGATATTGCATGTGTATGCCTGAATTTATGCATGTGTTAGCAATGGGTGTGGCTGAGTCAGACAAATCCACAAATTAGAGGTGGTGTCTGTGTACTTTTGCACTGTAGTGTATATCTGTTTGATATTGTGTTGTATTTTGTAATTGTTTTACAATTTAGATAGCTGATTATTGTTATTAGTGATGTTATAGAAGGGGATACCAGCTCATCTTGCACTGGACTATCAAAATTATTACAAAATAATATTAAGAAGTAATATTACGTTTTTTTCTTTCTGTACATTTCTCTTATTGTCGTATATGTTTTTTTTTTTCAAAGTTACATTCTTAAAATCAATTTTACACATGCAGAATGAAGCTAGAAGCAGCATCTCCAGCTCCAACATGTGCGTCACTCAAATCTGACAAGTCAATGGACCGACCGATTATGTTCAGTCAAAGGTTTGTTTACATCCTTCAGTCAACAAAATATTTTTAAATATGTAAAGATTTTTTAAAAAATGTGTAATTTGAGACCCAAACTATGTAGCCTATTAAAGACAAAAATAAGCATAGTTTGTTTACAGGTTATGTTTTGATAAGCATTTACTTCTGATACGCGCTTAATTCTTTAATTGTTTGTACATAATCCATGCTGAATAATTCTTATTATGATTGTATTCTGTCGAAAGGTTGTGGCAGGAGAGTTCATCACCAGCTCCCACCTGCATGTCCATGAACAGTGATAAGTCAATGGACAGACCAACCGTGTTCAGCAGAGAAGAAGAGTTTCTGAGGTAAGCATGCTAACTGGTTCTTGCTGAGAATTCACCAATAGTAGCACTAATATGATTTTTGTTAGAAATGAAATTGAAAACATTAGTCATTTAACAGAATCAATAGTAAATCAGTCAAGACATGTTTAGTGTTTAAAGTTAGCCTCTTTAGTTTTGCAGTAGAACTACAAGACGGGAAAAGGCGACAAAGCGGAAGAGCAATCAGTACTTGTGAAGATGTTAGTTAGCTCCTACACGTAACTAGCAAAGTCTAAGCACATCCGTCTAAGCATTAGCCCATCATCAGGAGATCGTGAGTTTGATCCCTGGTGATGCTACAGGCGTCTGTGACCGGGAGTCCAAGAAAGCACAGTTGGCCTCGCTCTCTCTGGGTGGGTGGGATGGCTCAGCTTGATGCTAGTTAGCACAGGCGGCTGATAGCTGACATAACAAAACTGGCGGTTGGCACTTTCCTCTGAGCGCGTTCAAGCTGTCCAATGACATAGAGTTAGCGGCATTTGGAAAAGATGATTCTCAGGTCTTTGTCTGCGCTAGCTTTTGCCCTCTTGGCGCTGGTGGTATTGTGTGACTGGGGAAGTCTTAACTAGTGGGTGGAAGTGGATATGAGCAAATTGTGGAGAAAATTGAGAAAAAAACACATTTTGGCAAATAGTTTGTAATATTTAAATCCACATTGTTATTATTGAATCCAAAACAACAATAATTGGAATGGCAGATAATTCCAAAACTTTAAATTGTACATGCATATGTAATCTGGTCACAGCACCTGTTTTGGACAGTTTTATGAAGAGATACACTGACTCATGAGGTGTCAAAATATACATACATATATATATATATATATATTGTATATAAATATTATATTGAAAAGGAAATAGGCAACCATAATTATGATAATACTGATGCTTACACTGGCAGGTTGTTCCACAAGGAGTTCTTCACCCTGTAGAAGCACTGGGTTTTGCTTTCACAGAGTGGGTCTCCAGTTACTACTGTGCTTGTTGTGGGATCCTTTGCAAGCTGTTTGACAAAAAGCGGGAAAGGACAATTTAGAATGTGTTATTCATTAACTTTCTTAAGTGACTAACAGATTTACAGTCTAGTAAGGACTACATAATATGTAGGGCAGTGATTTCTAACTAGGGTGTTCCTTGATGATGGGTTAGGTTCCTGGAGTACAGTCCTGCTACATATCGTGTCAGTTGTCTGGATAATTCAGTGACATACAATATAAATAATTTGTTGCTGTCCCTATTTCTAAATTAAATGTATATCAGGTGCCCAGGCTGGTTACCATAGTCAACATGGGTTCAGCACTGGTTACTCTGATGAATCGTCTCATGATTTAATCAGAAACAAGTTACCTCAGTCATATAGCGTCTTCTAGAACAGGGGTTCTCAACCTTTTCCACCCCAAGGCCCACCTGTGTGTAACTACAAAGCATAGCGACCCACGTGAAAACTGAAATGAACTTTTTTAAGTACAGCTTTATTTTTCTTTTCTTAAGTGCTGACACTGAAAACCTGAAAATTAGGTCCTGAAAAAGAGAAACCCTGTTCTAGAATCCTGAGGCTTTCTGCAATAGCCATGGATCCTGTGAATTTCAAGAAATGGTTAGAATAAAGTGCTGTAAAGGGTATAATGTTAAAAGTCAATCTATCTGATGTGAAATATTCAGCCTACCTTTGTGTAACAGCTATTCTTTCTTCCTTTGTCAAGACAAGGAGACGTTCGTTTTCAGTTTTTCTCTTGTCCCTTTTGTTGCTTAGACTTCAATAGAATAGAGTTTGTTAGCGTCATGGTTAATGCACTTCAGTGGTGAATGCTAACAACAAACGAAGGTTAAATAAATATATGCAATTCAGCTTTTTACATCTTTAGTTTATAGTTTTTGCCTTTTTGCAAGTCTCTGAGTTTTTCAGTATAACCCATTACTACCATGTTTGCTGATGGATATTGCATGTGTATGCCTGAATTTATGCATGTGTTAGCAATGGGTGTGGCTGAGTCAGACAAATCCACAAATTAGAGGTGGTGTCTGTGTACTTTTGCACTGTAGTGTATATCTGTTTGATATTGTGTTGTATTTTGTAATTGTTTTACAATTTAGATAGCTGATTATTATTATTAGTGATGTTATAGAAGGGGATACCAGCTCATCTTGCACTGGACTATCAAAATTATTACAAAATAATATTAAGAAGTAATATTACGTTTTTTTCTTTCTGTACATTTCTCTTATTGTCGTATATGTTTTTTTTTTTCAAAGTTACATTCTTAAAATCAATTTTACACATGCAGAATGAAGCTAGAAGCAGCATCTCCAGCTCCAACATGTGCGTCACTCAAATCTGACAAGTCAATGGACCGACCGATTATGTTCAATCAAAGGTTTGTTTACATCTTTCCATCAAAAAGTTATTTTTTAATATGGAAGCTTTTTTTAAAAAAAAATTATAATTTGAGACCCAAACTATGTAGCCTAATGTAAACAAAAATAAGCATAGTATGTGTGTCATCTACTTTCTCTGATATTTATGTTCCATTATGTTCCAAGGTACATTTTGATAAGCATTTACTTCTTGAATTGTATGTACATAATCTTTGCTAAATAATTCGTATTAAGATTATTATGTATTCTGTCAAAAGGCTGAAGCAGGAGAGTCCATCACCAGCTCCTACCTGCATGTCTATGAACAGTGATAAGTCAATGGACAGACCAATCATGTTCAGCAGAGAAGAAGAGTGTGTTAGGTAAGCCTAGGAACTGGTTCTTGCTGAGAATTAAAAAAGTAGTGTCATTAATGAACAAGTTTGGTAAAAAATGAAGTTCAAATGGTGTCATTTGGCAGAAATAATAGTAAATGTCAAGGTATTTTTCGTTAGTTTTGCACTGGAGCTACAAGGCTAATTTAGTTGACATTGGAAGCTTATGCCTCACTAACAGCATTGTGAGAACTACATGCCTGAATCATTGCACAATTGCATCAAACTGTGTCAAGTTGTTAACCAATTTCGTAGACTTCCTTATGTGGTTTCCAACACTGTATAACATACAGTTATCTATAAAAATTAAAGCGAGTCAGATGAATTTCAGGCTTGCTTTTGTCCAGTTGTCACCCACACCAAAGTTTATATGTTTGCAGTTAGTCCTTGCACAGAAGTTAGCTACCTACTACACATAACCAGCAAAGTTGCCCTGGTAGAGTTTTCTTTGTCTTGGTTTGAAAGAATGCCTATTTGCTGTCACTCTTCTGATTTATTTTTACAATATTTACTCAACATACAAGTATTGAGCAATATTTTAACAGGAAGCCGCACTAGAAGGAAGAAATGAATCTAAACTGCCATCTTTTAGTCAAAACATGCAGCTGTTCAGACCATCTGTTTTTGCATAAATGTTTATATGACAGTATTTGGTTTCTCAGAGAAAAAATGCATCACTTAAGAAGACTTAAAGCCATAAATTAAGAATGTAAATAAAAAGTCTTTGTGTTATTAATATTTTTATATATCTGACATAGATTGTTAAAATGAACATCTGTGAAATTGTAATGGCCAACTGCACCACACGAGTTAAAAATCATATGCTTTAGTTCACTCTTTGGTGTCTCCCCCTGCTCCCCACCTTAGCAACAAAGTGTGTTTTAAACCTCTGAGTATCATACACATTTCATATCTGAAAGGTAGATCAGATATGAGTACTAGCTTGACAATAACATAACATTGCAAATCCCATAGCGGAAATTAGTTTTTTCATAACTTTATCACTTTTAGAGCTGCCCTTTTTCAGCATTCTGTTTCTGAGGTAGCTAATGTAAAGCATTGCAGAGAAATAAAATAAGACAAAATAATATCACACCTGCATTAAATCTGCATCGTGTGCAGATCTTTGTTTGAGCTTCTTAATTTGTTAGCTCTCTAGGTTCCATCAAAACAGAAATGTTAGCAGTAATGGTTGCTCTCCAGTTGGGGGCAGGGCCTTGCTCTCTGTCGATCAGATCTCTTCAGTCGTTTAGAGGGTGGAAACCCAACTTGAATCTGTGACATTGATTGGTTTTATTACCAGCGACAACCAGTATATTTTATAAGAAAAGAAACTCAAGCTTTCCATCTGGAAGAATTAGGCAGTTACCTATTCTGCCTGTCCACCTGATTTCTATGCCCCATGATGCCTTGTGTGAAATATGAACAGAATAACTGGTAAAGCTCTAACAGACTAAAAGTTATTATGCCAAAAGCTAATTATGCTAAAAGTGAATGAAACCTTAATAGTGACAGAAATGTGAGTGCATATATATAAATATTGTCTTTATTGTTGTAATGTGTATGTGCCAAGGTTTGTAATCAGTCTGTCAAATGAGAAACCTGCATGAGAGAAATGCTAACTTTAGTCATAGGATTCTGTTTGTAGACCACTCAAATTCGTAGACCACTCAAATTATTTAGTTTGTTAAATCAAAAGACAGTGTATCGCTACTACATTTATAATTTATAAATTTATTTGATATTTTGATGTGTTAATGTAAAGTAAATATAGTAATATTTGTAATTATCAATAATAGAAAGCAGTAACATTCAGTATGTCTCACTAAAACCTTTAGTAAATGCTGTGAAGACACTCATATAAAACTAACATTTTAAACAGCCTCAGAATGTAATAACAGAATATCCTATGCTTTATAATTTTATTAACTATTTAAATTTTGTTTACATGATGCACCACTTGCAGTCATAAAATCATAAACATTTGGCAACCATGGCTGTTATTACACAACCTTTGACATTTTGATTTTTTAATTTTGGAAAGTGGGGGGGGGGGGTTCTGTTGGCCACCGAGAATTCTGAAGAAGACCTTCCTTTCCACAAACACAGTACAGGAGCAAATCACACTCAGTTCATAGAAATAGTATTTTATTTTCATGGGTTACTCAGAATCTGCAGAGGTTTCTTGTAGATATTTGATGCAGGTTCTCATTCACTCTGATTTTCCGTCTCAGCAAATTATACAGCAGCAAATTGATTTGACAGTAAGCTTTTTTTCTTGTTAGCAGCTAAATGAAATTCTACAGTTTAACTAGCTGTCATTTTGATAATGTTAACTTGACGTTAGTATAAATTTGAGAAGAGCTCAGTGTATTGTGAGGCAGGTGAAGCAGCGTCTGTGATTAAGTTGTTTGAGTCTGTGCCTGCAGCAGTATTGTCATGGCCTAACTGGTCCAGGAGGCTGGCGAGCAATGGGCACCCGATCAAGGCAGATGAAGCGTCAGACCGCACAGGAAGGGCAGTTGTTCAGTTCTGCAAAGAAAGCATATAAAATTTGATGTCATGCCTCAAGAAGAATGTTACAAACATGTGTATTGCACAAAATATAGAGTGCAGAGACGGTTGCATATAGAAACACAGTAGGCTTGTTTGACTTAATGCTGGCTGTGTTAGACCTCTGTAATTTGATATCTTTCACAGATTCAATTCTTAATTTCTGTCAAAAAAAAAAGTTTAAGAATAGCAAAAACGTTTTCCATTTGCTGCTGTGGTGTTGTTTACGGTGCTACAGCCACACTACTGTCAATCACTGAAACGACCACACAGTCCTAATCAGAATTAAAGTTATTTAACATTTTAACTCCATTTGATTTATGGTTGAGGATTTTTTTATGTCAGACTTTGGTTACTGATGAACAAGTCACAGGTCTTTCAAATCATTGAGATTTTTAATATTTTCAGTGCAATAACAAACCCTTTTAAAAGAACTAGACTATGCTCTAAACTAGGCTCTAGACTATGGTGTTATGCAGTAAAGCTAAATCATCAACCCCCCAGACTGCTGAGCACACACAAACAATCTAGCCATCAGCCATATTTCAACAACCATGCGAAAGCTAATAGTGCGATGTCTGCAGGATCTCTACCCTGAAGAACGTTTTGCCCACCTACAAAAAAACACTGAAAACCGGGGTTTCAAAAATTCTTTGGGGACCAAGGGGTCTTGTCAGTGTGTAGCCTTATGAGCCACTGTAGATCCTTTATCATGAACTAATTTTTTATATATATTTTAGTCTCAGAACTGATGGCTGCATCATTTTCATGTTGAAATCACACAATTTTCTCCCAAGAGATAATGTTTTAGTTTCTGAAATTGTCGTATTTTTAATGATCACAAGTTTGTATGTCTGCAGTTACAGAAATTAAAGTATAAAAGTATTAAAGTATAAACCAGTTAAAAAGAGACTGTAAACAGCAACCAGCATTTTATGGGCACAGATGAAAACAAAAATGGCCTTTTCACAGAGTGAATCGAAAGACACATTTGTATGTCCTCATCATGAACATCTGGCACTTCTTTAACTTCTATAGTAGTAATTGGCAGAAATTAGCTGCTAGGTTGGCTACATGGCTAAGCACTGCACATTGCCACAAACCACACAAGTTAAAAAGTATTTTTGTGGTACTAGACAGTTTGTAGTAGCTTAAAATAACGTGATATTATTGCTGTGGGAGGAAATATTAATAGAAAAGTAACTTTCAAAATTAAGGCTTATGTAACCACCCTGTTAGGTTAGGTCTTAGGTTTTACATCACTGGTTTTGGATGCACACATAACATTGATTTAGAAGTATTCCTTTTACAGATGTTGCATAGTATACTTCATATTTTTGCATCCTGAAAAGTAATGTATTTAAAACCTTAATATGTTGGAACATTTGTAGAAAGCTGACATACTTATTTTTCACAATTCTTATTGGCTTCCATTTCTTGTTAGCTACATTTAATGAAATAATACATGCATAAATAAAAACATAACTTTAGACACCAAACATATCTTTACTAATCAACCTAGTTATTTAGGTTAAGGAAAAAAAACCTATTATTTAAACTGATGTTCTGATTTTCACTCTGTAAGCAGTTTTATATTCACCTCCAGAATGAAACCTGAGAACATTTTAACGTCCTTGCTTTTTCTTGAACAGAAATATCAGATTTGAAAATGAAACTTACACTTCAGACGTTAGATACTGACATGAAACACATTTTTGTTGTTTCAGTACTATTATGCTACCATTTTTGATCACTGATTATTATACTTGTGTTTACCATAGAGCATTATCAGCCAGTCTGTTGACTGAGGATCACTTCAGGTGTCCAGTGTGTACAGATGTGCTGAAGGATCCAGTCTCCATCCCCTGTGGACACAGTTACTGTAAGACCTGCATCCAGAACTACTGGACCAAACCAACCCTACAAAACAGCTACTGCTGTCCTCAGTGTAGGAAGAGATTTAGAACTCGTCCTGCTCTGAACCAAAACTCAGCTCTGGCTAAAGTGGTTCAGAAGCTGCAGCAGGCCAGGTTCAGTCCTGCTCTTCCTGATCAGTGCTACGCTGGACCAGGAGATGTGGCCTGTGATTTCTGCACTGGGAGGAAGCTCAGAGCGGTGAAGTCCTGTCTTACCTGCTCTGCGTCTTACTGTGAAACTCACGTGAAGCAGCACTACACAGTAGCAGCTCTACAGAGACACACGCTGGTGGAGGTGACTGGAGATCTGGAACAGAGACTCTGCAAGCTGCACCAGAGAGCTCTGGAGGTCTTCTGCAAAACTGACCGGACCTTCATATGTCTTATATGCACAATGGAGGAGCACAAAGAACACGATACTGTCCTGGCCAAAAATGAAGATCCTACAGCTGAGGTAAGTTGTTCAAGTCGATCACGTAGAAACAGCTAACCTGAAACTGATATTGACAGTTTTCTGTGATCAAGTAAATGTGCAACACAGTAGATTGTATTGTATTGTTGTACTTTGTCAGTAAACTTAGAACTTGTCCAGAGGTTGCCAGTTTGGCCTTAATGTCATATAAGGTGCCCCTCAGACTTTTTTAGACTAGACTCTGAGATACTGAGATATTTATTTATTTTTTATTTTACAGATAATCTTACTTAATTCATCAGAAGAGAGGAAGCAGATGATACAACTCCTAAAAGACAACAAAGAGTTGACAGCAAAAGTTGAGGTAAGCTTACAGTGCCTAACCTTAAACACAGCAACTTGAACCGGTGAAAATTCACCCTCAGGAATCAAATCACTGTACTAACAACTGTGGTCCTTTATTCTGCGTAAAACTCTGCAGAGAGCTGAGACTGAGCTGGCTTTCCTGGTAAAGCGCTTTTGCAGAGGACTTGAAGAAGCAAATGGTGGGTTATAATGCTTCTATTTTAATGAAGTTTGTCAACAGCACTTTTATCAAATGGCTGCTAATTTATAAACACTAAATACAATTAATTAATCAATGGATTAATCTCCACAGCACTGTCTTCAGATTTTACCTCTGACTTTGTGGAGGTGTCTGCACTTGGTCGCTCATTGGATCTTGGGATGTTGTATAACTGCCATGATGATTCTTTCAATTCTGGTAGGTGAATATTTCTGCCTGCTTAAGTCCAAAACTTTATGTATGAATATTGTCAAAACTTTCTAACATTTTACAATGTGCATTTAACTTTAATACTTGAAATGGACAACATTTAAAGACACTATTTGTGATTGCTGTCTTGTTTTCAACATCACACCATTTATGGTTAAAATAGTCATTCAGTTATTTGTGTAGTCATTCATTATGTATCCATATATGTTAATATTGTCTGACATTTTATACTTTTAGATGTTTTTCTGTGGGATGCTGACTGTGTGTCTTCTATGAGGCTGTCTCTCCCTCGATTCTACACAAATATGAAGATTTTAGAGGGAGATTCTCTGCAGGACAGACTAAAAGCTCTGGACCTGTCCACTGCTCTGAGAGCTAGTGTTGTATCAGGACTGGTGGAGGTGGCCGGGGGTGCTGCCTTCCTGAAGCACCCCACTCAGTCCCAACTGCAGGACAGAGTCACTCTGCACTACAGAACCTCCACCAGATTAGACATGCTCAGTCACAGACTGCTACAGAGTGGAGCTTCTCTCTCAGTGACCAATCAGAGTTCAACACATGTGGTTGCGGCAGTGCTTTATGGAGTGCAGGCGTTTTTTGTGTTTGATAACACGAGTGAAAGCAAAGCGGGAACTACAGAACTGAGATCCATAGTCAAGAAGATGACCAGTTCTTCCTGTGCAACAGAATGTTCCTCCAGTCTTACTGAAAGTGAACAAGCAAGTTGTTTGCTATATGACTGTGCTGTTTATCTAGATGGAAATGATGTGAAAAATCCTGTGAATTTTAACACATCAGTGAATGTGTATAGCTCTCTTCAAAAGCTGTTAGGACCACAAAGTGAAAGAGCAGTCCCTCTGAAAGTCTGGCTTTATCCACTGAAAAATCTGGACCAATCTTCTCCCCATGTAGTCAGAGACATCAGTGAAGTCTTACTAAACAAAGCAGAAAAAGTCCTGAAATTTTTTGAGAGGACTTTAAGAAATTGTCAAGATATGCTACACAGTTCGAGCAGTCTTCATGTGGTCAAATGGTTTCCATCCTTAAAAGAAGATATTTCTCAATGTTGTGCTCTTCTGCAGCAATACAAGTCAGAGTTTCAGAGAGAACTGGCCTCCTGCATAAAGACCATACGAGACATAGGAGAGGAAGGAGAGGAGAGGCTTCGAGATCTTCTGCATAGGAATGAGCAATCACTATTCAGTCTACAAAATATCCACCAGTGGCTCCAAAACGAAGATGCTGAAGTGAAGGCTTTGAATGAATGCAAAGCTGCTAACACACAACACAAGCAACCACCACTGAGTTTTGGGCATATCAGTCAGAAAATCCTCTCTGACCTTCATTTGTTTCTGTCCAGTAAAGAGGCAGACAGTGATGCACAACAAATCAAGTTCATTGCTGCATCTGTACCAGATCAAGAAGTTCCCGGGTCCTCTATACGACTTTACCAATCTGGAGGTTTGGTGATCCACAATGTAAAACTTGAGGTGAATCTGGAAGCCCCAGAAATAATCACAGTAAGACCAACAAGTGTGACACTGAAACTTCAAAGACTTCAAAGTTCAAAGACCAAAAGTACTGACCGGTACAGAGTGGAGTACAGAGCTCTGAGCTGCAAAGGATGGAGTCATGGTCAGCTGAAATGGAGTAATATTGAGATCTGTAATACTGAAGAGAATTGTGTGATTATGGGATTCACACCAGAGGTACAGTATCAGCTCAGATATGCTGTAATAGATGGTAACAGCATGAGTGACTACAGCAGAATCACAGAGTTCCAGACTCTTCCTAGAGCCACGCCTGGACAGTTGACAGTAAAATGGATGAATGGAGATTCCCTCTGTGTTTCCTGGCCGAGGGCTGAGGCTGATGGAGACTCTCCTGTGCTCCACTACATGGTTGAGTATAAGGAGACTGGTCTGGAGGGCTGGCAGTCCATTCTAACAGAGGGTCCTGAGTGTGAATGCACCATAACTCTCCCCTACAGCACTTGCTACAGACTCAGAGTCTCTGCTGTCTATGAAGAGGGAGATGCCAGCAAACCCAGTGAAGAAACAGAGGTTCCTGTAGAAAGTAGGTGTCATTTGATACTTCTTATAATAATACTTCAACAACGTAGCAGTCTTATGGTGTGACCTTTGTCCTATATTTTACACAGCTTGGAAAACAGACCTCTCAGAGAGAAAGAGCTCCCTCTTCCTAGAAATGTTGAAACTCCAAACAGTGAAGAAACCAGTAGAGCTGAGAGGCTGGTCAGATGAAGAGAGTGAAGTGAGGAGTTTCCTTCAGTGTCTGCCCTACATCTCCCAGCTGAGGTGAGTGTGAAATATTATTGCAGATCATACTGGACTTATGTTTTCAGACTAACTTAGAACAATTTTATTGTCTAGTTTGTTTAGGCTGCATGCAATGTGTGGACAAAGTTTTTATTTAATTAGGTATGCATGCCTTGTATCTACACATTGGCTGTTTTAGGTATACCTATGACATACAGTGAGAGGAAATAAATATTTGAACACTTTTCCTTTCATTTATTAAACTTGCAGTGCATACATACAGTTGCAGTGCATGAATACAGTTATGTATTCATAAGCATAAGCAAAGTTATGTTTTAAAAATTGATAGTGTTTGTATACTTTCCCACACATGTTAAATATACATATATGTAAAATTTAAAAATAAAATAAAACCACAAAATAAAAATGTTCTCATGCTAATTGCACATGGTATCATTATAAAACGCAGTTCCATTGACTGGTTGGAAGATTATATGCAGTTCTCAGGGTCAGTATTATTAAACAGCACTTAAATGGAAAAAGCTACAGAACTTCAGTAAATACCTTAAACAACCTGTGTCTGGACAGGTGCAAGATTTCTCTCAGACTAATGATAAAGAGAGAAGCCAGTGGTCACGCAAAAAGAGTTGAAGGATGACCTGAAAGTAGCAGGAACAACAGTTGCACAGAGTACAATAAGAATTTTTTTAATATTTGCCCATTTTAAATTTTATGCCAACAACACGTTCCAAAAAAGTTGGGAAGGGGGCAACAAAATCCTGGTAAAGTTGTATAATGCTAAAAAAAAACACATGGTGGTTAATTGGCAACAGGTCTGTGACATGATTGGGTATAAAAAAGCATCCCAGAGAGGCTGAGTCTTTCAGAAGTAAAGATGAGGAGGGGTTCACGACTCTGTGAAAGACTGCACAATCAAATAGTGCAACAATTCAAGAATAACGTTTCTCAGCATAAATTAGCAAAGAAATTTTGCTTTTCCTCATCTACTGAACGTAATAACATTAAACAATTCAGAGAATTCGGAGCAATCTCAAAAAACAAAACCAGTATTTGCAGGCCATGATCTTTGGACCCTCAGGCGGCACTGCATTAAAAACAGACATGATTCTTCAGTGGAAATCACTGCATGGGCTCAGAAACACTTCTGAAAAACACTGTCTGTGAAAACAGTTTGTCGCTGCCTCCATAAATGCTAGTTAAAACTCTAAAGCGCAAAGAAGAAACCGTATATAAACAGTACCCAGAAATGATGCCACCTTCTCTGGCACCTTCTCTCTGAGCTAATTTAAAATGGACTGAGGGGAATTGGAAAAAGGTTCTATAGTTCGACGAATCAATGTGTGACATCCTTTTTGGAAATCATGGACACTGTGTCCTCCGGACTAAAGTCCACTCAGCTTGTTATCAGTGCACAGTTCAAAAGCCAGTATTAATAATGGTATAGGGGTGCATAAGTGCACATGGTATGGGTGACATGCACATCTATGAAGGCCCCATTAATGCTGAGCGATATACACGTTTTGGCAACATATGCTGCCATCCAGACAACGTCTTTTTCTGGGTAGGCCTTGATTATTTCAGCAGGACAATGTCAAACCACATTCTGCATGTATTACAACAGCATGGCTCCATATTAAACAAGTCTGTGTGCTAAACTGACCTGCCTGCAGTCCAGATCTGTCACACATTGAAAAATTCTGGTGCATTATGAAATGAAAAATATGACAAAGTAGACCCTGAAGTGTGAAATCCTGTATCAAACATGAACAAGAAAACATTTCACTTTCAAAACTACAGCAATTGGTGATGAAAGTGGTAAACATGCCCCTGTCCAAACTTTTTGGAACGTATTGTTGGCATCAAATTCAAAAAGGGCAAATATTTTGCTAAAGCAATAAAATTTTGTTTTTGTAGTAAGGTTTACATGATTTGCATATCATTTGCATCCTGCTTGTATTTACATTCTGCACAGCATCCCAACCTTATTGGAAATGGAGTTGTATATATATGTTTCTACACCCCATGTAAAACTCCTCTGCTACACGAGAAGTACAGATATGGACATGTAAAAGTTGCATATAAACAATTAGAATAATCCAAACTCATTTGGAACAATGTACTCTGGTCAGACCAAACAATAATAGAACTCTTTGACAATAATTCAGCTCGTCATGTTTGGAGAAAAAAAAAGGTTGTATGTATAAACACCATACCCACAAGTGAAATATGAAGGTGGGAGCATCATGATATTGTCATAGGACAGTAAGGGAGTGGACTCAGCGCTGAGAGGAAAACCCATGAACTATGAATGTATGGTTTGTTGTATATTATTATTATAGTTATTGTAAACAGATTATCAGAATGTAAAAAGAAACGAAGGAAATGGTGAAATGGCGTGCTCAAACAAAGGTAGATCTTCTCAAAAAATAAAATAAAAATAGGCAGGAAACAAAGACACTTCATCTGTAGTTAGTTTTGTTGTGTAGATTGGGGCAGTTTTTTGTGGCTTTCTTTTTTTCTTTTGGCTTGGAGCCATTTTTCATTTAAGCCCTCTTTTTCCCTTTTATGTAGTTTTTGGGTAGTTTTTTTTATGTCGTTTTTTCTATTTCTAGCTCTCTTTTTTTTTTTTTCTAATACCTACATACTCTACAAAACATGTTTTATTCCATCTGTTACTCCAACACCAGTCTCTCAGCATGCTCTCAGATTCTTTATTTTGTAAACCAGTGTTATTTGAGCATCAGTTACTGAAACAGAGCCTGTACTGTGATAGATTGCACCTGTAGCTGTCTAACTATGCTAGCATTAGCGTAGCCCAGCAAGAATCTGAGCTGTTCAGGTTATCTGGGTCTGACCATTCCTCCTGTCTTTTGGTTCATATATGGATATGCCAGGGTGTAGTGCCTCTTTGATGACTCCTGTTGTGAACTGTGTTTGAACTGTTTTAACCTCACTAGAGATTAGCCCGTACAGTTCTATGTTCAGTGGTATTATCAGTAATGATGGCATACAAAGCATGCAGTGGAGCTAATTTACTGATTTAGCCTAATTCAACAATATGACAGGTCTACTCTTGTTTAATTTTGAAGATTCAAACAAATATTGAAGCTTTATATGTGTGCTAGCCGAATTTGTGCAAAAACAAATGGGCTACAGTTAGTAATATGGACCTGTATGGTTAGTGTACGTAATACAATGGTCAGTGACTGTAGGTACAAGGCATGTGTATCTTATAAACTGACAATTCTGTAAAGCAGTTCCTTCCATATTTCTCTAATGCTCGCTAATAGGCGTCTTAAGTGATGTAAGAAGATTGATACTTTTTGTCCGTCTTGTCCTGTGTTAGTTCAAAAACTGAAAAAACAGTTAAAGTGTCGAAAGCTTCAATAAACACCAAATGGGTGAAAACAGTACACAGTTTTTAATGCACCATTCATTAAATGTCAAACAATCTATCTAACAGTTGAAAAATGCTAAATAATGCTTCAAACTAGGAGAGATTAGTTGGTTTGCATTAACTAATAGCATAGCTAGCACGATAACAGCCCTGCTCACCACAGGATATGTTTGATTTTGGCTAACTAAAGCGACAACACAAGTTTATCTGATGATGGCTAAATTCTGAGGGAGTAAAGTCAAGCAGCTGGCGCTGAAGGGGCAGAAAGGCTAAATTAATCTTGTTTTGGTGTTTTTATCTGCAGCTTGATCAGCTACTTTAACATTAGCTTAACCAGAGGAAAAAAACAGTGGGTTCTCTGTGCTTCACTGACCATATGATCATATCTAAACATAGGTGTCAGTCAGTATGTTCTTCCTGTTGTTTAAACCAATTCAACATTCTGAGTGCTGTGTTCTTGAAATGGTATAATTTTAGACAGTACATTTCTTAATCTGCTGTACTGTAACTGAACAAAGTGTAGTCTGGCAGTGGTATTGACTGTATATGTAACACAGAACAAGAACTTTATGTTGGCCTCAGCTCAAAGCATATGCCATCACTGCAGTACAAAATCAAGGCAAGAGCAATCAAACACACTGCTGTCTCTGCCTCATTAGCATGCTGGAAGACGAAATGCAGAAATCAATAAATAAGTAAATACAAGAAGAACATTGGTTTATTTTTGCTTATGTATCTCAAATTGATTTATTAATTTATTTCTGCTTTTATACTACTCATTTATTTATGTATTTGTTCATTTGAATGTATTTATTTCCATTTTTATTCACTTAATTTTATTTTGTCATATTTGGCATAGATTTCAACTGTGTGATTTCAAATGTGATTTATAAAATATTTTCTTCTTGATTTATATCATTCTCACTTCGTGTTCATTACTAAACACCTTTTACTCTTCTTGTTCTAGGATTTCTTCTTCGTTTTTCATCACTAAACACATTCAGGTGTTTCTGGATCTGTTCAGTAAAGCAGCAGAGTGTGAGATACAGACAGGAGAGAAGACACTGGAGCTGTTAACATCAGTGTGCACTTACAGCTCTTTTCCTTATGGAGATATTCAAAGCTCTTTTCCTTATAGAGATACTCACAGATCTAATCAGTGTGATTTCCTGCTGGATCTGTTCTCACATGTGAAGAACTATGAGACTCAAACAGGCAGGACTGTTCTTCCAGCATTACAGCCAGTTTACCAGTCAGCTCCTGCAGTCTGGATCATAAACCTCTCAGAGAGAAAGAGCTCCCTCTTCCTAGAAGTGCTGAAACTCCAAACAGTGAAGAAACCAGTAGAGCTGAGAGGCTGGACAGATGAAGAGAGTGAAGTGAGGAGTTTCCTTCAGTGTCTGCCCTACATCTCCCAGCTGAGGTGAGTGAGAAATCTTAATAAAGTATCTGTTGAAGGCCATTCCTGTGTTCACTTTCACTTTTAAAAATCCAGAATTTATGTTCTAAATCTGGATCAATGAGACATAGTTAATTAAATATTAACATTGGGCATTTATATTTGACGTGAGGTTATTTTCTCTTGAGTGTTGTACCTATAACACCACTGTGAAGTGATTGTTTTCAGTCGAAATTCCAAATTGAATTCAAGAGTGTGCCAGGTAAAAAAAAAAGGTGTTTTATAGGCAGGTAACTGCACTTTACAGTGCTGTGTCTCTGGTTTGAAAAATGAAGTGGCAAGCTGGATATGCTTTAAAGGATAATGTACTGACCATTTTCCTCCTTAATCAACCATTGCATTGTAAATTGTCTGTGATTTGAAACAAGGAGGAAAATTTAACCTACGTTTTGCTTTTAAGCCATTCCTTGCCAACTCATCAAGAGGTAATCTGGTCACATTGTTGAGTTCTAAAAGCATCAGTTTAATTAATGTGGCATGCAATTTTTTTTCTTATTTTGAGCTTAAAGTTCTCATCAGGTTCTGTATCACATCTTAAATCCTGAGTTTAACTGCTTAAAGAATGACTGAACTGAGCTGAAATATTAACTGGGACTAGAAATATAACCCAAACAATAATACTTTTCTTTAAATCAAGTGGTTTCATGTTAATGAATGTCCAAACAAATTATTTTATTGCTGGATGTTATTTTTATGTGTGTCAGATTGTGCAAAGTGTTTGTTTATGTTGTATTCCCACATTTCAAACCTGTGAATAATTCATTATTTAATTATCAGCTATTTTTGTTTCAAAAAGGACAAATCATACTTTTTAAAAACTTAAACTTAAATTATGTCTGGTTCACATAAAAAAATACAGATGCTCTGCCTCCATGGTTTAAGATTTTTGTTCAATATAAGGTATTTGACTAAGAACTAGTGTAACAGCAGATAGAAAAACACTGGATTTTCAAAATACCATTCTTTTCTAGTTGACACGGGATAGCAAATCAGTACAAGAAGAGCAATATGAATAAAGAATAACTCCAATACAATGAATATACAGTAGTGCATACAAAAAAGGAAAAGAAAAAGTCTGTTATTGATGACTGCAGTTAGTGGCCTTTCGGAGTAACAAATGAGAAATAGATCTATGAAAACCAGTGACTACCAAAGCGCATCACAGTGTAAACAAGTTAAATCCATGAACTCAAATGACTACTGTTAGAAGCCTATTATCATGACATGTTAGTATAAATAATAATAAGTTTAACTTATAGAACATCTTTTTCTCATCAGGACAGGATGGGAAGTTATTCAGCTCTGCAAAGAAACACAGTTTTGTTTAGGGGACTGGTCACAAAAGAGTAGAGTGCATACAGTGATTGGTAGGTCTAGCCTTTACAGCATTAATAAAAAGGAGGGCCAGAAGATAACAAGACATTAGGGCTCCTTGAGATGTCAGAGCCCCTCTCTGCTCCACTGTCAGCAAACCTGAGTGAACACATGAGAGCAGCCGGGCAGCAGCACTGAGAGCTCCGTTTACCATAATACTCAATTCCCATGAACCCTTAGTTCTGCACATTTTACCCAACAAACTATTTACTATTTACCAAAGGCTTGCCTAAACAGGTAGGTTTTTTAGCCTAGACCTAAAAACTGAGACTGTGTCAGACAACACTGACTTGGAAGGATATTCCAAAGCTGAAAGCTTTGTATAGAAAAGCTCTACCCTCTTCTGTAGCTTAATTAATTTTAGGTACTAATAGTGCAGTGAAGTCTCCTGTAATACAGTACTTGGTCTTTGGTTTTGCGGTGGAGTAGACGGAGAAGAATACAGATAGACCACAAAGCATTTGCTCGTCCTGTCTCATGTATGCAATTGTAAATCTTCTGGACTGCCTTGTAGACCAAAGTCCTGTGTCTGTGCGTCAACATTGTTCTCTCAGACCCATCATTCAATACTGCAAAGGTATCAAGAGCCTGGTCACCATGATGGATAAGAACATGCATAACCTTCAAATGGACCTGATTGCTTTTAGTTGGTCTATCCAGGTAAAGCACCTCAGTTGTTGAAGTCTCACCATGCTTCTTTGTTGCTGCAAGCTTAACTGATGACACTGATTATCTGTCATGGATCATACAGAAGGTCTGTAGATTTCTCCCTTGACACAGATGCAGTGTCTCTGCTGCGTGGTGATGCACATCACCAGCACCTTTATACAATAGTTTACTTGCTCTGTGGTTGGCTTAGAGATAGCTGTACACTAACTTAGGTAGTGCTCTGAATTGTCACAGAGAAGACAGTATGGCTTTTTGGGTGCAGAACAGTGACAGAGTAGGTAGCTGCAACCTTGGGGTTCCTTGAAGGTTTGGATAGCTGGCTGTTGCTCAAGATGGAGCCGACTGGGATCTTCTTAGATAATACTGGAAGAGGCTGAAGAGCACCAGTGACATTATATTTTTGATGGGAACACACATCATAGGCTGAGATTTGTGTAAGTGCCTTTGCTGGGAATGGCATATAGGGCTTAACAAGTACCTAGTGAGCTCTCTAAGTAGCCGCTGTTTACATAGGCAGCTGTCTAAGTAGGCAGCGGTCCAACCGTGATCTGTCCTTATAAGGCAGATAAGAGACGCTCTAGTTAGACAGCAGTGACGTCGCCGCTTGTTCCCGCCCACTGCACGAGACCGGTGTTTACTTATCTCAGCCGTCAGAATCACATTTAGCCAACATGCATCCTGCTCTGGCAGTTTACACAGCATTTTTAATTGTATTTGCTCTGAATGAAACAGCAAAATAGACAATAGTTGTGGTCAAACGCGGAAAGTATAGGTTATTTGTGCACGTTTATGACTAGAAAACAGATAAATACCCCAGAAAATCAGAATAACTTACATTTAAAGATGATGTCGCTGCTTGGTGAAGCGCTTCTGCCCACCATCTTCAAACAAAAATTGCGCCACGCTGCATCGCGGGATTGCCTCAGCAGCTGAGGAAACATCTGATGCTCGATATTGGGCCAAAATGAGATACCTCAGTAGGTAGCATATTGAGATATCTAAGAATTGGGACAGACTTTTTGTCAGGAGCGCGCATATTGTGACGTAAAATGCTGTCTATGTAGAGAGCTCACTAGGTTTTGAGACACACCCATAGTGAACTCCTATTCCATCAGTTATTTTAAAATTTACAGGCACAGAAATAGACATATGACAGGTTTGAGGAACAGAGAAGGCTTTGTCTAAGCTGTGATAGTAAGTCTATGACACTAGTCTGTGGTCTAGAAGAACAAATACAAAATTACTTTAAATATCAGCATTACAGTATTTAAAAATGCATAATAAACAGAGAATGCATCATAATACCATTCTCATATTGTTAACAGTAATGCTCTAACTAGAGAAATATCAGTTTAATTGTTGCTTAGGCCCTATCTAGTGGCCAACCTCTTGAACTGACTCAATGACATGACCGAATATAAACAAAGAAATGCTATGGCTACATGACTGATAATGTATAAACCAATAATTTAACTTCCCTATCATGTACAAAACATATAAAAAGACCACAGAATAATACACACAAAGAATTATATCTTGTCCATTTTATCAGCTACACTTTCATATAGGTGCACTGTGTAGTTCTACAATTACAATTACCAGCACAACATACCACACACCGCTACCTCAGTGTCACTGCAGTGCTGAGAATGATCTACCACCCAAATAATACCTGATCTGAATAACAGAGTGAAAGGGGGTTGCCAAGTATGCAGTGAAACAGATGGACTACAGTCTGTAACTGTAGAACTACAAAGTGCACCTATATAGTAAGTGGTGCTGATAAAATGGACAATGAGTGTAGAAACAAGGAGTTGGTTTTAATATTATGGCTGATTAGTGTGTATGTCTACGTGTTTTCTAAGCTCCTTGTTTGATGCCTCCGCCTGAGGTAACAGGAAGTTGAATCATTGTTGAATATCTGCAAAACCAGAATAAACAGTATGAACAGTCCTTTCTCTCCGTCACTGATACACATGTGCAGACGTGTTGCTAGGATACAGACAGAAGCAGCCGAAACAAAGTATCAGTCTCCATTTAAATAAGTAATAACAGCAGCAGCCTTTTTTATTCTGTCACCTGATGTGTCTGTATGACACTGTAAGTAATCATTTGTATCAGTTATGACTGTTAACTTTGTAACAAAAATTATTGTTACAGTTTAGCTTATCATTCGTCTGTGTAAGAGTCAGCACTAGCCAGCAGTTACTGAGAGCAGAAATTTACTGTTCATATTTGATCTGTTTATCTTTTGGTCTCGTTTTTGGTTCTGTGATCGTCAGCGGAAAAAGCAAAAATTCAAAATAAAAAATAGCTTCAAATAAAAAAAGCCTCACCTTAACCGGAAATAAACATGCTGAGCGCAAGTATGGTCTCAGAAGCTCAGAAGTCAGGTCTCCTTGTCTGTATGTTGAGAAGAATCCTTACTCCTCTTTGCTTGTATGCGCATTGTGCAGACACGTGGACACTACAGACTACACTCGTGATTTCTGTGTGTAAATCTGGTGATCATGGTGATCGTGGTTAATCCAGACTTTTCCTTTACAACGAACAACACAACAGGACCTAAAGCCCAACACAGAGTCTCCCAGTCAGAGTTTAGTTTAGTGTAACGAAGGTGTTGGTTGTTGGTGCCGCACTCTGATGACTGAATGGCTTTCAGTCGTAATATTAAGTTTCTTGGTGAAGAAGGAGACACAGGAGACGCTACAGAATAACACAGATAACACACACATACACTTAAACTAACAGAACAACAACATTAATAACACCAAACCACAACACCCTCCCTTTTTACAGGGTGGAGCTCAGCTCTGTATAACGTGCCTCTAAAGCTCCTTCCCAAAACCAGAGCCAGTGGCAGCTGCCACAGAAATATGAACAATCTGAACAAGGACAGAGCGCAGCTTTAATTCTTTAAG